GCCCACCAAGGCCGCCCCTATTGGGCCCGTCTTGGGCCGGCCCATGGAAGACGTCCGGGCCACGTACAGCATGGGCAAGGAGCTGGGCCGGGGCCAGTTCGGCGTTACCCACCTCTGCACCCACAAGCAGAGCGGGGAGCGGTTCGCGTGCAAGACCATCGCCAAGCGCAAGCTGGCAAACCGCGAGGACATCGAGGACGTGAGGCGCGAGGTGCAGATCATGCACCACCTCACGGGCCAGCCCAACATAGTTGAGCTGAGGGGGGCGTATGAGGACAAGCACTCGGTGCATTTGGTGATGGAGCTGTGCGCGGGAGGAGAGCTTTTCGACAGGATTATTGCCAAAGGGCATTACACGGAGAGGGCGGCCGCGTGCTTGATGAGGACGATTGTGCAGATAGTGCACACGTGTCATTCCATGGGGGTCATCCATAGGGATCTCAAGCCAGAGAATTTCTTGCTGCTTAGCAAGGACGAGGACTCGCCTCTTAAGGCCACCGATTTCGGCCTCTCCGTGTTCTACAAACAGGGTTAGTTTAGTCATTCCTCCCTGTTTATCATCTTTTTCTCCATTTGCTTTTCCCATGTTTTGTAAATATTCTCTCTGAATAGTAAAACTGTTACGCGAATCGAGGCAATACTATTTTTGCAGATTATTGAATTGCGTGCATTCCCTTGTGATCAAATTGTGAAATTGTCAAGAAAAGAGCTTTTTTTCTTTCTATTAAAGGGAAAAATGAAAAGTTTAAAATGCACAGAATGTTATGGTTTTAAGTTTAAAAGATAGCGTACCTGTGCATGCGTGACAAAAGTCCAACTTTCCATCATTAACCCTGTTGTATGATTGTGTACTTTCAAATGGCAGGAGAAGTTTTCAAGGACATTGTGGGCAGTGCATATTATATAGCTCCAGAAGTCCTTAAGAGAAGGTATGGACCGGAAGTTGATATTTGGAGCATTGGTGTCATGTTGTACATTCTTCTCTCTGGTGTTCCGCCTTTCTGGGCAGGTAATTCTATAATATTTTCATTTTCTTTAAATTCTTATTTATATAAATATTTCCGAGCACTTCATGTTATTTGTCTGACTTGGCAAAATGTGTGTATCTGTTGATAGAATCGGAGAATGGAATTTTTAATGCAATTTTACGCGGACACATCGATTTTAGTTCCGATCCATGGCCTTCGATCTCTAGTGGAGCAAAGGACCTCGTCAGGAAGATGCTGATGTCAGACCCCAAGCAAAGGCTGACAGCATCTGAAGTTCTAAGTATGCATTACATGTTACATTACTTTGTTCACAATGACTTTAATATTATATATTTTTGTTTAATAACTATAACTTTTTTTATATATATATTTAAGGTCATCCATGGATCAAGGAGGATGGTGAGGCACCCGACACTCCTCTTGACAATGCTGTTTTGAGCAGGCTCAAGCAATTCAAGGCTATGAATCAGTTCAAAAAAGTCGCACTACGGGTAATTAAACTTTCCTTAAATAGCAAAGCCTCAGACTTAAATCCCTCCCATCCATTTGAACCTTCTTTTGAAAGTGATTCTCGGTTTGAAGCCCCAGAAAGACACTCAATTTCATCAGAAAAATGAAAATCACTAATTTATTCTTCTTCTTTCAAGAGTTTGCAAACATTTCCTTGGTGGTTTTCAAGCATCGACATAACTTATTCGAATAACTAACTTTTTTTGAATGCCATCACGAGTAGGTCATAGCCGGTTGTCTTTCGGAAGAAGAAATCATGGGACTGAAAGAAATGTTCAAAGGAATGGACACCGACAACAGTGGGACCATAACGCTCGAGGAGCTAAACCAAGGGTTATCCAAACAAGGCACAAAGCTATCTGAATACGAAGTGAAGCAATTGATGGAAGCTGTAAGTTCCTTCATTTTCCCGTGAATTAAAATATCCAGAGGATTGTTCTAGAATTTATTTATCGTGCATACCTTGAGGATACTATTACTCATTAACATATATATAATCAGGCGGATGCTGATGGGAATGGTACGATAGACTATGAAGAGTTCATTACAGCCACAATGCACATGAACAGAATGGACAGGGAAGAACATCTCTACACGGCCTTCCAATATTTTGATAAGGACAACAGCGGGTATTATATTGTGCTTTTGCTGATTTGAAAACGAAATAAGAAAAGGAGTTGATATTGAAAACTAAATTTATTAGAGTAACCCTTCACTTTTTTTAACAGGTACATAACAGTAGAAGAACTAGAGCAGGCACTCAGAGAGTTTGGCATGGAAGATGGAAAGGACATAAGGGAAATCATCAATGAAGTCGACTCTGATCACGTAAGTTTGGACAATTTCAACTAGTAAAAAACAAACATTTATTTGGGTTCAATAATCGATTGGGAAGATCATAAATATTTAACAGCTAATCCAAGGTCTCGATTTTTATTCAGCCTTTTTTGCTTCGGCAACATTGATGTCTGAGTCTGACAGAGAAAGTATTTCGGGTGGTCATAGGACTATTTTATTATTTCTCTTTAGAATTAAATAAAGCAGTCCTAATTTTCTTTCATTAGTTAATGCTCTTTAACTTATCATTGGCACTTGACGTGCCGGGAATTGAAAAACTTCGAAAATGCTTTATGCTTGTTTCAGTACTGCATAATGTAACTGTTAATAAATGCATCGTGTAAGTTGACTATCCAAAAATGTGTTGCAGGATGGAAGGATAAATTATGATGAATTTGCAGCCATGATGAAGAAAGGTAACCCAGATGCAGCAGCAAATCCAAAGAAAAGGAGAGAGGGTGTTTTTGTTTCATAGTAACAAGAATGTCAAAGAAAAACACAAGGAAATGAAGTACATTCGTGAACTACTTGACCTTTTTGAAATGAAGATCATCTGATTTGAGGGTGTTACTCTTAAGTTTAGTAAGATTAGTTCCAAAATGTGGTAAGCATTTGAAGTCAGGTTTGAGGCTGTGTATTTTAACTTGGAAATGAAAACGACGAAACTTGTAATGTGTGTACAAATATAGACAGCTGCATTTTATCTTATACAGTTTCTTCTCTGTTTTACCAAACTATATATACATATTTTTTTACATTGATTGTTATTAGGATGTGACTACTATTTGCTTTCAGATTCAAGGGTTATAATAATGTGGATATATATTCAGTAACTTCCTTAATCAACATCATGTATATGGTGAGATCATCTTCGTGTGTTCATTTTCCATTTGAACATGGAACTTGGCTCGATTAAATCTTGAATTTGGATTTTTTTTTCCTTCTTTCTCCCTAATCCCAATTTGGTTTAAATTTTAAAGTAATTCTGAAACTAACTCTTTATCAATGAACTTGGTCATCCTAATTCCAATTGAAACCCAACTGAATATCTGTCTGAATTCAAGAAAGAAGTCCTAAATTTCAAAATAATTCATGAACACTATTTATCTAGTATCTATATCCTCATTTGTAGCGCAAGAAAGAAAATGGAAACTTATCAAGCATATGCTGTATTGTTATTTGTTAAACAAGAATATCATGTCAAGAATATTCAACTATAATAACACAACACATCATTAAATCTCAAAATAAGCCCAAGACCAGTATATCATCATCTTTAACACCAACCGATGTCAAAAAACCAACAAGATTTCTGTTCTTTTACTCTCTAAACTATTCAAAATGGTTAATTGCAAGTGTCTTGAAACAGATATCAGAGAGCAACAAAAACTAAAACTCATCCACATACTTACCTAAAAATCATATCTTTACACGAAAATGCCTAACCTTCAATAAAAGTCCAGATCTTCCCGACGGAGCTTCTTCTCCAAACTCAGGCAGCTAAAATTTTCTGACGAATCTCTTTATCAGCTTCGAAAACACTAACATCACTTGGAAGCTGGATTCCCAATCTCGTACTTCTCCTGAAGCCTCTAGATCTCCTCCTCCTTCTTCCTCTGGTCAAACTTCTTGCCCACCTGTTGGCCACGTTGAACACAGACAGGTGGTCAACGGCATTCTTGGCGTCGTGGATATCCTCGTACGCCACGAATGCTGTCGACCACCTGTCCGGCTTCAACGTGGCCAACAGGTACCTGATAGTCCTGAAGCTTTATTGGGAAGATCTAGGCTTTTAGCTGCCGATAAAGAGATTCGCCAGAAAATTTGGAGTCTGATTTTAGCGGACTTGCTCTGGTTTTAGGGTTACGGTTGAACGTTTAGGTAGTGTTTGGTTGGAATTGGGGGGAAATTTGGAGGGAAATTTGGAGTCTGATTTTGTTTTGGGTAGTGTTTGGTTGGAGGGAAAAGGATAAAGTATTAAAACTGAAAATTGAACTGAAATATACGGTTCAATTTTGTTTTAAATCGAAAATTCAACGGCTTTATTGGTTCGAATATCGGTTATTCGATAATATGGAGAAATGACTAAAATAAAATTTACAGTTTGTGAGTTATAATTTATAAAAATAATAATAGTTACTATTCAATAATTTTACCAAAACAAACTAAAATGCATACGAAAAAAAAATGTCCCAAAATACAAGTTTATCAAATCTCATACATCACACTAGGTTCATTAGACATAATTATAACAATTCTTGGACACTCACACATAATAATAATAATAATAATACTAATAATAATTATGAGTTAGGAAATTTTCATGGAATTGCCGAATTGGGAATGGACCACTGCAACAGGGAGTATGGGTCTATGGGAATTGAAAAGTGATAGATGAGGGTGTTCTATGGATTGGTTTGGGTCTATCTCATGGTGGGTGGACCGTGGTGGCTTTTGGCCTATGGTGTTGGTCTTCCATAATTTTTAATAGCAATGGGTTAAATAATATATCATTATTTTGGGCTTTTATAACTTATACGTATAATATCAGTTTTCGGTTCGATTCGATTCGGTTAACCGAAAGACTATACTCAAACCAAACTGAAAACTGAGATATTAAAAAAATGTAAACCGAAAATTGAACCAAATATTCAGTTTCGGTTGAAACCGATTTTTGGTTTTGGTCAGTTAACCATATTATATGCACCCCTAATTACGTGGAAGGGAGGGAAAATTTTAAGTTAGAATTTCTTCCCCTTCCCATTTTTGCTCCCCTCCAAAAATGGGAAAATATGAAGGAGACAGAAGGTTTTAAGTTATACATTTACTATTTTGTCCTTATTATATACAATATTTTAATTCTTATTTCTAACATCATTAAGGATATATTTTTCATTCTAACATTATTTTCCTTCCCCTTCCATTTTCTTACCAAACAAGGTTTATAATTTTCTCCCAACTTTCCTCCAACAAAATCCTTCCAAACAATGTAAAATTATTTTACATCACCTCCCATTTCTTTCTTTCCCCTCCATTAAAATCTCTCTACTCCCTTTCCCTCTTTTGAACCAAACATACCCTTGTAGATCGTCGTAGGTAGTGGAATTAGCTTTAAACGAAATAAAAGGAAAAAGAATCTTTGCATTATTGCTAAAATGTTCAATTTAAAATTTTCTCAACTTTAATGCTTTTTTTCGAAATGATAGGAATTTTATAAAGCGAACAAAAGTGCGAAAGAAAGCAGCCCAAACCTGAATAATTCAACTAAGAGCTTAAAACTAAGAGGACAAATCCGAAGATCGCCTAGAGACGCTCTAGCAATGCTAGACCAACACAACTACAACACTAAACAAAAACCGACTACAAAGCTCCCAACAAAGGAGAATGACCGATCCCAAAAGGATAATGCCTGCTCTCACTCGGGTTCACAGAGGCCAATGGCCCAAACCTAAAACACAAATTCTAAACAAAAACTAACGCAACAAGACAAACTAAAACTAACAAAACCTAAACGAACAAGCACAACCCTTCCCCAGCAGAATAACCGAGCCTAGCACAAGGCACCAGCGGAATAAAGGCCGACCATCCCCACAGCTTGACCCGAAGTTCAAAACACCGCTCCCGAAACTGCCGAAATTGCTAGCTAAAGTCGAGTTCCGGAACCTCGAACCACTCCTAGGATGAAGCCGACCCAAAGCCGGACGAACAGCGGCCAGACCCTACCCCATAACCCACCATCCCGAACCCGACCATCACCACTGGCCCAAATCCAAGATGCAGGTCTTCCCCGTCCTTCACACCAAAAGGAGCAGAGAAACAGGGGGTCGAACCACGCCCCTCAACCCCAGTCGGCTCCCCACCGACAACAGCGAGCAGCCAGGGCCACACCCCACCCCCAATCCCACACCACCACTCAAACACCAATACAACCAGAGAGGCCGACAAAATTCCCTCGAGCGGCGACCATAGCTCGACGAAAACGAGTTCAGGGGGGGNCCCACTAACAGCAGCCCGAACTATTAGTTACAACCTTTATATTAATTTTAATCTGACTGTCAGCTAAATTAAAAAATATACACCTCTTTTTTTCCTTTCATTTTTTTTTCTCTTTTTCTTTTACAATACCCACCCACAATAATTCCAACAATGCAACCCATCCATTCGCACGGACTCCCATAATTCAATATATATATTTTTTTGTACAGACTATCTTTTTTTTAAACAACTTCAAAAACCCCCCAAACCTAAATTATTCTCTTCATTCTTTTTTTTATTATTTTATTTTTAAATTTTGTTTCATTCTTTTTACTTTTGTTTTTCTTTTTTCCGTCTTTTCAACTAACATATCTCTTCTTAGCTCATTGCAACAATCGATCAGTTCATGTAATAACTAAATCAGTAATGAAACTAATTAATGACTTATTTAACAATATGACCTCAATATTATCAACACCGGCAATTAAATTGAGTTCTGAACTGATGTGAAAAGACAAGACTTTCTATATCAGTTGATGTTATATAGTTTCATAAACCGATGTAAAAAGTAATTTTTCTATTAGTATAAAAAGAAATAAATCAAAATTAGTCAAGCATAGTCGTAAAAAATTCTATATATTGTTGCATGAGTTAATTGCAAATTTGGTCCCGTTAGATTGGGACGTTCGCAATTTTAGTCCCAAGAGGCGCAATTTCAATCCTTAACTAATTTTTGTTGCGCAATTGGTCCCAAATCTAACTGAACGTTAAGTCACCGTTTGTCATTAGTCACAAATATTGAAAAAATTGCAAATATAGTCCCATAAGATTGGTTTTGTTGGAAATTTAGTCCCAAATATTAAAAAAAAAAAATAGTTTTATTATTAATTTTGTTGCAATTTTTATTCCGTGAGTATATAACAATATTTGATAGTAAAAATTTAGTTTTGAGACAAAAAATAATAATTGCTATACAATGTTTTCTATATTTAAAATTAATTTTTATTAAATAATAAATATATTTAAAAAATAGTAATTATTTAATTTTATTAGAAATATAGAATTCTAGAGGTTAATAAAATTTATAAATAAAATAAAAATAAAAATAGAAGTAATACCAACTACTATTGGTTGAAAGCTCGGCCAAACTTGTTGTTGAATCGATAATTGGTCAACTAAACGGTTTGATTCCTTTAAACGGATTGATTCCAATGAACCGATTAGAATTAGTTGAATGGACTGGTCAATAATATATATATTTAAATAAGTTAATAAATTTTATATTTTTTAATATAACAAAAATATAAGTTTAAATATATTTGATATATATAAATTCAAATATATTTGAATTTATATTATTATGTTTTATGTATTCAAAATATTTTTAATTAAATAATAAATATTTTTACAAAATAATTATTTAATATTATTATAATTATATTGGATGATAAAAAATAAAAATATAATTTTAGAGGTTAATAAAAATTTAAAACGTAAAATAAAAATAAAAATAAAATCAACTACTATTACTTTTAATTTTTAGAATCGGTCAAATGATTGGATTCATTTGAAAGAACTGGTTTTCAATGAACCAGACAGAATTGGTTGATCAGATTGGTCAATTGTATTTATATAT